AATGCTCAAATCGCTGACTCTTACGCTGCATGACACAACGTCGGAAGTCATATCAAGTTTTTTTCCACCGATAGAATACTGGAGCACCAGAGGTTGCGTTGTTGGGATTTTACGGATGTAATTCAATACCTAATATTGACAAGTCAAACAATACATTCACTTTGATAAATACAAATAACGAGCTTCTTGAAAATAACATAGAAATTAAAGTGCCTGAAGGCACTTATGAACTTGAAGACATTAGTAAATATCTAGAAGAAAGTTTTCAGTCGTATAAAATCTCATTCATGTTGAAGGCTAATAAAAATACTTTAAAATCAGAATTAAAGTGTAGCCGACAGATAGATTTTAGCGTTGAAAATAGTATAGGTGGTATTTTAGGCTTTCATCGAAAAATACTCGACGCAAATAAAATACATATATCGGATCAAGTTGCTAACATAAATAATTTAACTAGTATAAAAAAAAATTGTAACACTGCTTATGGCGCATTTGACAACGGAATTCCTAGTCATACGGTTCACGAGTTTAATCCAGGAGTGGCAGCTGGTTACCGTATTGTTGAACAACCTAAAAATTTGATATACTATCCATTAATATCCAATCAACTGTACTCTATTACTGTGAAAATAACAGATCAAGACGATAAAGCGATTAACTTTAGAGGTGAGCCTGTTACTAAACGTCTACATATACGCGATGGCTCTTCGATTCAATAAAACCAAGAGTAATATTAAAAAACCAATCATTAAACATCGACTAGTTGAAGAGATACGACGTGAAAACTTTGACATTATTTCTGCTTTGGGGTATACAATTAACAATGGACGATATTTTAGAAGTAATGGAAACACCGTACAATGAAGACCGCATAGTGAAATTGGATTATTTTTCCTATCAACCGTTTTCGGTAAGCGCACTATCGAATAATGATGAGATACGATAATACTATATATATATACAGGTGTAAATCTTTCGAACCATAGTAATATATGGGCGAGTATACTGGTGGAATGTAAAATAGGATCTCGTTTTTTTTTCCAAAATTGGAGGCATTTTGGAATAACCCCCTCGAATTTCTCTAAAATTAAAAATAAATCATACCACGATATTTCCCGCAAAATTCTCATACAAATTGAGTTGTCACTCGATTTTTTGTAACTTTTGCGCCCTCCCCTGAACTTTGTGATTCAAAGTTGGAAAAAAATTTCACATTAGTGTAACGCATCAATTTGTATTAAAATTTTACTGGGAGTCCTGTGATATAGTTTATTTTTAGTTTAAACGATTAAATAACAAGAAAAACCGAAAAAAACCCATAAATCATGTGATATTTTTTTAATTTCACGAGTTTATTTCGTCTTTTAATATTTATTCAAACCAGTTAATATTTCAAATATTAAAATAATTATTTCTAATTATCCTATTGTAATTAAGTTTAAAATATTCATTTCAATATTGTGATTGTTTTATTTACCCGACCTAAAAAGAAAAATTTTATAATTTTATAACAGTTTAAATGATAAAAATTATAATCGGTTGGGTTTTTTCGAACAGTTAAGATAATGAGTGGTGCAGTTGTCCTGAACTCTATTTTTGTCAGCATAGGACACGCCATCTCCTTTTTATAGAACGCCTCTTGGAATTTAGTGTACATGTGATATGATACAGCATACTTATCATTTGGAAAGTCCATTCGCAAGTTGTCATAGGGGTACGATTCCGAGTTCAAGTATTCTTTTATAGATGATAACGAACAATGGTCAAATTTACTACTATCTTTGTTTATTTTGTTTTTTCTATCCACTTCAAAAACTACAATAACAAATCTCGGGCACTCAGTCTGCGATGAAGTTTTCACAGCCCAGGCTTGTCTTTTACTATTTGATAGGCCGGGATTTTCATATAGTTACCAACATTAAAATGCTATATGAAGCGATGTTGAAGTTTCCAGGATTTTGAGCATGTCTAACCGCATAGCATCCTACACATTTACATGTAAAACTTTCCATATAATATTGTTCAAAATAATTTTACAACTTGATAAATTTTCATTTGTAGAGGAAATACAGTTTAAATTTGTACCACTCCGTTGCAATATTAAATCTTGGCGACAATTAACGATGACTTTTTTCTGATCCTCGGCAAATCCTAATAATAACCTTAGAGGTATGCATACTTCAAATTTCATACTCGTATTTGCAGTTACAACACTCCATCCAGCATTTTCAAACCGTGTATGATCATTCGGTGAAAACGTGATGTATCCTATAATTGTAAACATTATCCTAGGCATACGCGATCTATCTATTTCTATTGAGTTCAATAATTATTTTATTTCATTGAAGCAGTGAGCTAGCCAATTCAATATAGCTATCAATAACTATCATATATTTTTTTCCAAAAAATACGAAACGATATCGATAAAAAATTAATGAAAGAAACTAATAATATGTAAAATGGTTGAGATAACATTCCAAAACTCTAGAATTGGATCAAAATTATATTGCTACATTTTTGTTATAAAATTATCTAATTATAGTGAACAATAAAACAATAGCAACAAAAAAAAATCGAATAATAATTTATTTTTCGACCACAAACAATATTTTGGATTTTTTATGAGTTATTTACTGTCGAAAATTACGATACATTAAATCTCAAATAGAGTGTTCCACTTTAAAATGTTTCATTTATTTAATTAGAAATATTATAATATTAGCACTGGACTAATATTGACACATGACTGAGTTGATAATGTTTTTCTGTACTGATGGAATAACACTGGTGGTTTTGTATAATCAAGTAATTATATTTCCTAAAGTTATTTTAAAAATAAATATATTCCATAGTATGACTTTTTTATTATTGACCACTTAATTAATTTAACAACAATAAATACATTACATTTTATAATATTGTTCATGTATAATATAGAGACTTTTACTTGTGATTTCTTTTAGTTCCATGTTTTAGTTAATTTAACAACCATAAAAGATTTTTCATGTTCATCCCTTATCATTAAAGTTATGACTGATGATAAAGGCAGCCCTCCTCTCACCAAGATATACGAATTTCAATAAATGAAAATAAATTATGAACAAATAAAGTTGACACCCTTATAAAGTGACTAAAGCATAGAACTAAAATAAATCAAAAATCAAATTCTCAATATTATATTTATTTTTTGATTAATTATTTAATCAATAAATAATTACCCTGTAAATGTTTTTTAACGATTACGTGCATTATATATATATATATAAAAATTATGTGTTTAAATTTACACACTTATAATAAAAATAACATACAATTGTAAGTTCTATTTTTTTTTCATTTTTTTGACTGCTATTATAATTATCCTAAAAAATAATAAAATGTAAGCACTTTTTAAATTTTTACTAAAATTACATACAATAAATATTTAGAGTATTTTATTTATTATTATTATTTCTTTTAGTTCCATGTTTTAGTTAATTTAACAACCATAAAAGGTTTTTCATGTTCATCCCTTATCATTAAAGTTATGACTGATGATAAAGGCACCCCTCCTCTCACCAAGATATATGAATTTCAATAAATGAAAATAAATTATGAACAAATAAAATTAACATCCTTTTATGCTTATCAATCTGTGTTATGGTTTTTTTATTTATGACTTTGAAAATTAACTTAGAAGTATTAATATGCATCTTTGACACACGTTTCACATCTGTTATATACAAACAATCAATTTTAACCCAATGATATTCTTTCTAAGAATCTTTTATCTTTGTTAGTCATTACGTTTTTTACGTTATTGTCGACAAATTACGATACATTAAATCTCAAATAGTGTTTCACTTTAAAATTTTGAGTCATTTATTTTATTAGAAAAGTATTATAATATTATTCATGTATAATATTGAAACTTTTACTTGTGATTTCTTTTAGTTCCATTTTTTAGACAATTTAACAACCATAAAAGATTTTTCATGTTCATCCCTTATCATTAAAGTTATGACTGATGATAAAGGCAGCCCTCCTCTCACCAAGATATACGAATTTCAATAAATGAAAATAAATTATGAACAAATAAAGTTGACACCCTTTTAAAGTGACTAAAGCATAGAACTAAAAGAAATCAAAAATCAAATTCTCAATATTATATTTATTTTTTGATTAATTAAGTGGCTAATTATAAAAAAGTTACCCCATAGTTGTAGACCATAGGTCCAAATGGGTTTTATAAGGGATTTATACACTAGAAGTTTAATAAATAACTTATAAAATAGAAAATGTAAAACTTATTTTAAAAAAAATTAAATTAAATATCTTAATATCTTATATTTAAAGGCGAAGAAGACATACAAGAATATAGAAATAAAGAAACATAAAGCTTATAAGTCATAGTATCAATATTTGAGAAAGGTAATATACAAAAGAATAAGAGAACAAAATAACAGTTACAAAGAACCAGTTTTGTTTTTTGCCTGGAATGTCAAAGATGGAGCCAATTTTATGTGCCAGACAACTAATAGAAAAGTATAGGGAAAAGAAAAAAAATCTGTCTATGGTATTTATAGATTTGGAGAAAGTATATGATAGAGTACCAGGAGAGGTCTTAAAGTGGACATCAATGAGGCAAGGAGCCTTGAAAGGGTACATTAATATAATAGAGGATATGTGTAGGGTCACTTATACCAGGATAAAAAGTGTAGGTGATATAACAGAGGTTTTAGGATTAAAGTATGATCGCATCAAAGTTCTGATTAAGACCCTACTTATATTCTTTAGGAATGGATGAAATAACTAGAGAAGAACAAGGTGAGGTACCTTGGTGAATGTTGTTCGCTAGAGATATAATGTTAATAGGAGAAAATAGGGACAAAATTAATCAAAGACTAGAGATGTGAAGATAAGCTCTTGGAAGAAAGGGATTGAGAATAAGTAAAAGTATGATAAAGTTAATAAAGTACGAATTTAGTTGGGTTGGGTTTATTGATTGCTTATTGAAATACACTATGTATTTATAATATAGTATATTTTATATCAATATGTAAATAAGTTATTTTTTAATTAATATTTAATCAATAAAAAGAAGGTAATATGTATTTGCTATTATTTTAAATTTGCATAAATAATGTAAGCAGATTATAGCACACTTATTTACTATGTAAAACCAAAATTATACCCTATTCAAATAATTTATGAAAAGTTATAAATTTAATAAACAATTGCGTTATATTCTGCGTGAATTAAACTAAAAATTAATTTTAAATTTTCCATTATTTTATCTAAATCTTTTGGTATATCATGAAAATTGTATGAATTTTCATTTTGTTGTTTAGGAAATCCATTTAATAATTTATTTATTAAATCTTGTGGTAGTATGGGATTATCATAAAGAAAGGAATCTGTAACTTCATATTTAAAATCATATTTTGTCAATTCTTCATAATTCATAAAATATTTTGCACATTGTTCTGCCAATCCTTTTAATTCATACAGATTATTACTCTTTGCATGTATCATTTGGTCTATGGAGTCATGTATAACATTATAGCGATCCAATATAAGCATAACTTTTTGTATTTTTTTAAAAAGTTCTAATAGCTGTCCCCAAAATGATTTTGAAAAATCTTGAAGTATTATAGCATTAAAGGCATATATAGATAACAAGATCATATACTTTAAAGATCGATCAATCAAATATTTTTTTGCTGTTTCATCACGTATTAAATGCTTATTTTTCCTCTGTAAAATATAAATTTAAAATTGAACAGTATTTTATATATATATTTTTTTTATTAGCTTTTATTGTGAATATATTATAACTCGAAAATTACATAGGAATTAGCATTATGTTGAAAATAAATTTTATAGGGTAAATCATAAAATATTTATGGAGAACATTTTAATTGAGTCATTCAGTTGAAAAAGAATTATGTTCAAAAAAATTGTTAAATGGGTTCTGTTCACATCATACGCCGCTGTTCCTAATTGGGTAAAAAAAAATTTAGTGCTGAATAGATCCACTAGTTAAATGATTAATCTATCTATTACAGTAGAATTATAATAAATTAAAACTAGAATGGTATTAAACTAAAATATTTTTTCAACTGTTACTTTAATAACACTGTCATATATTTAAAAAGAACCCAGTAATATCAGAATAAGTAAATTTGATAAACTTTAACTTATTATGGATTTAAAAAATATATATCAACTTCAAAAAATACTAGTTCAAAAAAACTAAAAAAAAGTTCTCTATATATTTTATTGTTTCAGTAAAAATGTAAAGATCAATGAATCAATCATACTATATAGTATATATGCCTATATTTTATCATACTACAAATTAAAGCTAATATATATAGAGTCAAAGTTCAGATTATAATATACATATTGTTGTTGTAATTATAAAAAAATTTGTTTCTTCATTTTCTACACTGCTTTTAAACCAAGTCTATTATTCTTATCTACACTAACAACTTTTTAAATATAACACAAAATTTATGTTTATCTCTATTAACATCGTTTTGACATATACTTACTTTACCTTATTGATAAAAGGGACATAATATTTTCATTGGTTTGTTATCATGGTTATTTATGATAATAATTATTATGCCATATAATTTAATAGCTAATTAAAATAATTAATAATTTTAATAGTTAATTAATGTATCTTAATCCACCGTAGGTCTACTATGCCTTAGAAGTGTAAGTGACGAGGACTCTGTAATAGAGTTTTTTATTCGTTAAGGTAAAATTTTTTTATTTTTGTCATTTAATCCACATTCTATATTCCTCACCTTATTAATTTTGATAAATGCTACGTATAAATTTCAAAAAGGCTTACGAGATTTTAATTTTATAGTTAAAAAAGCGGTAGCACAGTGGGGTCGAGGCACAGTGTGGACGAGGCATAGATGGGACAAGTATAGATGATATCTGACAGTGATTATAATCACTATCATAAGAAACGCTTCGATGCAAATCTGTAGATAGTGTTTCATTTAGAGAAATTGGTGGATTATTCCAAAAGGAACATCAACTCTTATTTCTTTAATTATATCCTGATTAGCAGTTCTTTGATTTTAAAATATAATATATGAATAAATACTAACTAATTATAGTTTTTAAATTCAGTATGAAATTGTGAGGCCAGCTATGATCTATAAAAAGCAACCGTAATATGAAAAAAATTGAATATAAATTTTAGTACTCACATTAAATGTAATGTAACTCGAAAAATGTTTGTTTAAATGAAAAAATATAAGATAATTTTTTTGTTTATAATTGTCTTTTAAACAACTTTTGTACGAAACTTTTTTTTGTAAGTTAAATATTTTTTGAGAAAATTAAAAAAGCTCATATTTTTGAACTTTTGCGAGGCTGTAAAAAAAAGCTCAATTTCAATCAATGAAGACTATTAGTATGTCATTATACATATTTTAATTCAACTATTAATAAAACAAAATTTGGTTGGGAATTTTTTAAGAAATTTTTCCTTTGTTGACTGGCCTAGATGTCAATTTTAAATTTGTAATTGAGCTAAAAGTTATGGTAATATATTCAATTTTTTTTGCTATAAACTTTCATAAATCTTTATCAAAAATTGTTCATAAATTTTAAAGAACCAAAAAAATAGGTTAAAAATGAAAATTTGGATTGATCATTTTTAACATATTAAAAATCAAATCAGTAATAAATTGAAAACAATTCTTTTTTTCTTTTAATTATTTTTATATGTAATTAGTAATAATATAAAAAAAATAAAGAACTGATAGATAAAGTCTAATTGCAGATTTGAAAACAACGCGAAACTTTGATTTAAAAAAGTATATTTTTGTTTCTGATGAAAGTTCCTTGAAGTACAGTGCATTCATTTATAGTAACAAACAGTTTTTATTGAAAATTATTGTATTAAGCCCTTTAAATTTTTATACACGTAAAAATAAAGCAAAATACAACTTCTTTATTATTTTTATAATTTCTCCGTTTAAATTACAATATTAAATTATTGAATATCAATTTCATACTAAATTTAATAATTATAATTAGTATTTATTCATATATTATATTTTAAAATCAAAGAACTACTAATCAGGATATAATTAAAGAAATAAGAGTTGATGTTGCTTTTAGAATAATCCACCAATTGCCTAATTAAAACAAAGAAAAAAAAATTGGTTGAGAATTTTTTCTGCTATTCTCCAAAATTAATCCTTCGTTGACTAGAATGAATCATTAAATAGAAAATTTTATGAGAATTAAAACTATGCTATTTTTAAGACTAATATGCAGTCAGGAAATTTTATAATTACTATTTACAGTATATTTATCAGAAAAACTCATTATTTTTTTGTATTTTTATCGTAATAGAACACCTAAATAGAAATCATAGTAATCATTTCTAAGTAATTTTTAGTATTTAAAAAGATTCTACAATTGAAATATCCAGAACTGAATTAATTTTAATGATTTACTTTAGCTAAAAAAAAAGAAAGTTATAATTTTGAATCCCACTTGTGGGCAGGTAAAGAGTTAGATTTATAAAAAAAACAAATGATAGAAAAGACATGCATCTAAATAAAAAAAATTATACTGATTTGGTCATTTTTGTTAAAGTTATAACAGTTAACAAAGTTATAAGTTTTATACACTGGACTACAAGGAACTTTCATCAGAAACAAAAATATACTATTCAAAATCAACTTTTCGCAATGTTTTCAAATGTGCAATTAGACTTTTTCTATCACTTCTAAGTTTTAATATTATTAAAAAATAGTATTTGCATATAAAAAAATTTGTAGATAATATTTAATTTTAACAAATTAATGAATTTTTTGTCACTTATGAATAAATATACTGGACTACAAGAAACATTCATCAGTATCAAAAATATACTTTTTTAAATCAACTTTTCGCGCCGTTTTCAAATCTAAAATTAGACTTTTTCTATCACTTCTAATTTTTGATATTATTACTAACTAGTAAAAAATGAGTATTTACATATAAAAAATAGAGCGTATAATACAATTTGATTATATTTGTAAAAATCAATTGTTAATTCAGGAGAAAAAACAATCATTTTTTTTAGAAATGATTTATATAGCAACATGTTACAAAAAAAAATTGTAATATGATAGTCTAGTAGTAGCACACACAAATAGAGTAAAAAAATTATTAAATTACAAAGTAAAATGATTTAATTTTGTAGTTGAAACCTATCATATCAAACTTGATTCGTCAATAAATACTTTGAAACATTAGAAATTAATGATTTTAATTGTTTGTATGGAGGAAATGGAATAACTAACTGTTTAATTGATAAATTAAAATTTTTTTTCAATTTTTGAGGGTAATATCTTCAACCTAGATACGAATTGTAGTCATTTGACGTATCGTTGAAAAAAATAAATAAAAAATTTGTTACTTATGAATAAATACACTGGACTACAAGAAACTTTCATCAGAAGCAAAAATTTACTTTTCTAAATCAACTTCTCGCGTTGTTTTCAAATCTGCAATTAGACTTTTTCTATCAGTTATACATTTTTATATTATACTAATTACATATGAAATAATAATTAAAAAAAAAAAAAAATTGTTTTCAAATTATTACTGATTTGATTTTTAATATGTTAAAAATATGCAGTCAGGAAATTTTATAATTACTATTTATAGTAAATTTATCAGAGTAACTCAATATTTTTTTGCATTTTTATCGTAATAGATAACTTAAATAGAAATAATAGTAATCATTTCGTAGTATCTTTTGGTGTTTAAGAAGATACTACAATTAAAATATGAACTGAATTAATTTTAATGTTTTACTTTAACTAAAATAACCAATAAATAAATACGAATTGTAGTAATTTGACGTATTGTTGAAAAAAGTAGGTCAAGTTAGAGCAGAGAAAATAAATGATAGTCACAAAAAAATATCTTCTCAGCTTTGCATCGAAGCGAAAACTTAAAATATAGTAAAATAATTTTAATACGAATAAGAAATTTCTTCTTGCAAGGGGCGACTAAAGTGATGGGATCCTTGATCTTTATTGAAGTTATTGAATCTAAATGTGATAAAAATCAAACGAGTTAAAAATTTTACTAACTTAAAAAGAATTAAGAAAAAATGCAAAAAATTCATTGCCATACGCGGGTTGGAACCTCGTACCCCAAGCGTGTAAAACATAAATTTTACCAACTCGGCAACCGTACGTTGCTTCCGGCGGTTGAAAAATTGGCTATTTAAGCTAGTTCAAATTTCAAAGTTATTTTTCTCGACTTAAAAGAAACAAACATATTTAAATAAGTTTAACTATCTATACTATATCAATTTTAATTTATATAATATTTATGAAAATCTGTACTCCCCTTGTCAGGTATTTTAAAATAAAATAAAATACAAAACCCAGAATTTTAACACAAAAATAGCATATTTTTGCATACGGTAGTCATTTTTACCATGAAGACAAATCCAGAGGTCAAATTTTTTTTTTTCACATTAAAGTATATTACATAAGCTTTAATTTAAGATATATTTAAAAGTGTCAGTATTTCCGGAATACTTTCAAAAATTAAATTGAAAATATCGTAGTAACAATACGCATGTTTAAAGTTTTGACCCCCCTTGTTAAAGGGGTATGATCCGATTTACAAAAAAAGCGTGCCAGATGAAAGGGGTATATCAATATTTATTATAAAAAAATAATAATATAGATCCATACATTTTTCCAAAAGTTATATAAAATATAAATTAAATAATATAACATATAAAATCGAGATTTTTTTCACGGAAATCGTACGTTTTTCTTTAACTTTGATGTCCGTTTTCACCACGAAGACAAGTCCAGAGGTCAAATTTTTTTTTTTCAAATTAAAGTATATTACATAAGCTTTAATTTAAGATATATATAAAAGTGTCAGTCTTTCCGGAACATTTTCAAAAGTTAAGTTGAAAAAGTTCTACTTTCTATACGCATTTTAAAAGGTTTGCACCCCCCCTGTATAAAGGGAAATGGTCCGATTTTAAAAAAAAGTATGTCGAATGAAAGAAGTATATATAAAGTATTTATCATTAAAGAATAAAGTTGATTCATGCATTTTTTAAAAAGTTATAGCAACATAATGTTAAAAAATGTAAAATATAATATCAAGAATTTTTTCACAAAAATAGCATATTTTTGCATACGGTAGTCATTTTCACCATGAAGACAAGTCCAGAGGTCAAATTTTTTTTTTTCAAATTAAAGTATATTACATTAGCTTTAATTTAAGGTATATATAAAATTGTCAGTCTTTCCGGAACATTTTCAAAAGTTAAGTTGAAAAAGTTAATTTTTTGTAAAAAAGTTACCATTTTGAAACCCCATCCTTTGGGCTGTTAAAGGGTCAAATGTTCACAAAAATATATAAAATGATAGGTAATTATCTAAGGTATCTATAAAAAAAAAAATTATATTGATTCGGTCATTTTTAAAAAAGTTATGGCAATTTTAAGTAAAAAAAATTGAAAAAATATCGAAAATTAGCGATTTTTAAATTTGTAATTTTTTGGGGGATTTCCCCCGTTTACGGGGAACGAGGGAATTTTTTTCAATTTTTGAGGGTAATGTCTTCGACTAGATACGATTTGTGATCTTTTGACATATTGTTCATCAAAATCGGTCCAGCGAGAGCTGAGATTGAGCGTTCACAGACACAAAAAAAAAAATAAAAAAAAAAAATAAAAAAAAAAATAAAAAAACACATCATAGTAAAATTAATACCTTCTCAGCTTCGCATCGAAGCTAAAATAAATTTTAAATAATTATTATATGATTTATTAATAAACAAAAAAATATCTGTCGTTTATGTAGGACTCATCACGAGTTAATTATCATTTTTTGTATTCATGTGCTTAAAAAGATGCAAATTTTATATAAAATAAATAACCATTTAAGATCTGTGACATAATTTTATAATTTTTAATAAGTTATTATTGGTGTTAATTTAAAAAAAATTCATTTGTATTGATTTGTATTTACATTCGTATGTATTCCGTGACGAGTTCAGCATTTATTTTAATTTAAATTATATTTGTGAAAGGTTGAAACTTAAATTTGAATAAACAATTAAAACTCACAATGTTTTCAAATACTTTAAATTCAATATCATAACCCAAATCTTGAATAATTTCCCTCAATCTTATAGTACCATTTTCTATAAATAAAATGATTTCATGTGTTAATTTTCTTAAAGATATTACGACGTATTTCTGTTTTGTTTANATGTGTTAATTTTCTTAAAGATATTACGACGCTTTTCTGTTTTGTTTAAATAATAAAGTAAAATTTTTTAACAAATAACAAACGGATTTTATTCAACATGATCTATACAAACCATTGTATGAGCAAATTTCACGGTATTCATTGTAAATTAAAATTATGTTATCTTCATTGAACGTCTTAAAATACAAATAACAGTAATTAATGAAAAAACAAGATTTTATATGATATAAAAAGCCCAAAAACATAATTGAATCTTATTTTTAAATAACCTCCGTTATTTGAAAAAAACTTTTGGTAAATAAAATAAATTATTTTCAGATTAAAATATTTGTTCTCTGTTGGTTTTCAAAAAGTCGTAATGAACCAACCGCAGTAGTTTTATTAAGATAATATGTATAATAAGATAATAATTATACAATAAATCACACGCAGGATAAATCCACTGTATTCACATATACCGTCATAATACCGCAAAGGGCCGGGACAACTATTGGTGGCACTGATGTGACCAAACACTGGTTATTACTGGTGTATAAGCCGACGAATATTACCAGTCAGCAAACGACTTCCCCACCTATATGAGTAAAACTGGTTTCTTTTCTTGGGATGGAAATTAAACGAAGCTACACGTAACTCGCTTAGTTACTGTTTACTTAATGGACCTTAGAAGATACATCTTAATAGTGAAATGACAATGAGTTTTGGACACGTCTTCACGGTCAGTTATGAATATCATAAATTAAATAGTTACAAACAACGATATTAAATTAAGGTAACATAAAGTATTACATCTACAAAACAGAACACACTACTAAAACAATAACGACATGTCTTATAAAAATAAATTATTATTTAAATACAATAACAGTTTAGTAAAGAAAAATTGATTAAAAAAAAAAAACTACAAATTACAACAAAATCAATTCTGAAATAAATAAGATACCATTCTATCATAATAAGCAATAAAAGGAACCTAATAATTAAAAGAGGAAAAAAGGCATATGTGTTTAGGGAATCATGACGTTGACAATAATACCATCTTTACGATCGGCCAAGTAAACGGTTGGTTAATAGTGTGCAATTGGGCTGCACGCGCAACTTTATCTTTGTCCAAATTAACAACTCTCACCCTTACCTAACTACAATACTAACGGACTTCCCCACTTATTTGTGAAATTATTTAAAGTGATTATTAAAAATATGTCATGAAAAACATTCATGATAGCTTTTTTAGTTCAATAATATACCTGGACTTTTTATAAATAATAGAGATCGATATTTTTTATTTCGAATTAAATTTAACACAGTCCAGTTATAGTTAGTTCAGTATTGCGTTAACTCTGAATGATCTATTTTGACCGTTAATATCACTGGACCCGATATCATTAATAAAAAATATTGATTTGCAAAACATATTCGTCGCCAATTAAGATAGTCACTATATGCTTATCAATCTGTGATATGGTTTTTTTATTTATGACTTTGAAAATTAACTTAGGAGTATTGATATGTATCTTTGACACACGTTTCACATCTGTTATATACAAACTATCAATTTTAACCCAATGATATTATTTCTAAGAATCTTTTATCTTTGTTAGTCATTACGTTTTTTACGTTATTGTCGACAAATTACGATACATTAAATCTCAAATAGTCTTTCACTTTAAAATTTTGAGTCATTTATTTTATTAGAAAATTATTATAATATTATTCATGTATAATATTGAAACTTTTACTTGTGATTTCTTTTAGTTCCATTTTTTAGTCAATTTAACAACCATAAAAGATTTTTCATGTTCATCCCTTATCATTAAAGTTATGACTGATGATAAAGGCACCCCTCCTCTCACCAAGGTATACAAATTTCAATAAATGAAAATAAACTATGAGTGAATAAAGTTGACACCCTAATAAAGTGACTAAAGCATAGAACTAAAAGAAATCAAAAATTAAATTCTCAATATTAAATTTATTTTTGAATAATTAAGTGGCTAATTATAAAAAAATTACTCTTTAGATATTTTTTAACGATTACGTGCTTTATATATATATATAAAAAATCATGTGCATTAATATACACACTTATAATAAAAGTAACATACAATTTTAAGCTCTATTTTTTTTTCATTTTTTTGACTGCTATTATAATTCTCCTAAAAATAATAAAATATAAGCACTTTTTATATTTTTACTAAAATTACATACAATATATATTTAAAGTATTTTACTTATTATTATTATTACTGTTATAATAAGGTGCGAGCTCAAAACTTTGTCGATCGAAAGGTTACAAATAAAGAAAAATATAACTACACTCTATTATTGAGCACATTTATGATTAAGATACTTACCTGACGCAAATAAATTTCTGCAACAACATTTTTCACATTTACAAAACTCTGAAATGATATCCAAAAATCTAAATATTAAGTCTGAATTAAATTCTAGGGAAGTAAAAGCGGGAACTTCATATAAACAGTATTAAATATTTATAAAAGTTTTATAAACAAAAATCATAAATCTCACAAATGGATTTTAATGATTCTTATGACATGTAAAGAAAAGAATGTTTTCTGTCGTAGCTAAAAAATTATGGGAAAATATTAGCAAGAAAGATTGTTTTTGTTTATATTTTTGTTTATGTTAAAGATTATATTTAAAATTTTTAATATTTCTATCCTAAAAAAAATACCGAAATATTTAGTATTAAATTTTAGTAATAGCCAAATATTCCTTCAAATATTAGCTACTCAATTTCTTTTAAAGTAATAATTATGTTAAAAAAATTATTTTTGGTGTTTTTATTTTCATACATATATTTCTCAATTTCTCAACTATTAAGTAGTTTTTGAATTCATTCTTATACCTTATACAGTTATATAATGATATATTAATATCTAACAAAAGCATATTGTCATTGGCAAAAACTATATAGAATTGCCTCATATATTTATTTTAAAATGTATTTAATTTTAGAATTAAAGGTTATTTTTATGAAAATATTGTTAAAATATCAAAATTTAGAGTTTATTACATGTTTTTAATATTAACAGCATTTATATCAGTATCTATTTATATTAAAATATAAAAACTACATTTTTTAAATACTTATAAATTATCATATCAGCCATAAAGAATTTATAATTACAGACGTAAATACAAAAAAGGGTTATGGGGAAAATATCAGTTTTGATTGTAAAATATCCGCCAAGATCAACTCTAAAGGATATTTGTAGCAGATTAAACTTAAGTTATAGATCTTACATTTTGTATGTGTCTCTTAAATGTAACCCATTAAAGTTTTAAATGGATTTTTAAAAATTTTTTTTTTAATGAGTTATTAATTACATACAATTTAAGAGTATTCAATTTTGGCGTGTCCAAATGACCGTCACGAGGAGAAATGACGCGTTCTAATCAGTCATTTATTATTATAATGTTTGTTTACAATCTTCGGTTACATTCGCCACTATATAATGAGTTCACTACCACCGTAACAATAGTGTGTATGTACGATCTTGAACAAATATTCCTACGCCGATCAATTTACTCTTAAATTCTACCGAGTATTTCAAAGTATGAACCAGTTACCCACATTAGGCAGTTCGCAATACTCTCTGTGAATCTCGTACCCGGTGGCACATTTTTCCACCAATAACTTGGTGGGAATATGTAACCTAAAGCGCCTAGTCCTATTTCCTATAATGCACTTGCTGAAAAATAATTAATAATTTGCTGTAATTTTATTTTCCAAACTAAACCGCGTAACGTTCGGCCCGAGTAAACGACCCAAAATAACAATGCACTACAATGACATCTGACTAAAATTGATGAGCGCATAACTTACAACGGTTAGTCGGTCAAACCACGCGCGCGTCACCATCTCTGCCTCGAGCGAACACGTACCAGCCAGTCTTTTATTTAGACGCGCACTGACCATACACGGAGTATTTCGGGCCGAATACATTCACGCCATCGACACGCGATTTGTCACCGTCCTCTTCAACCCGCTCATAGACCCAAATGGCCACTGTACCGTATAATAATCCGCCTGTTATACGTCCTCCGTCTCCCGAGTTCACGGGAAAATATGAAGAGGACCTGAGAGAGTTTTTGGAGCAGCTAGGAGCCAGTATTCATTACTGCGTTGTGAATGAGGGACTCTAGTGTAAGTTTTGTGCCCGGTGTGTGGACGAGGTGAAGTGAAAGGCTGTAAAAAATTTCATAATTTTGATCGAGGGAACGCGCTCGATTTTGTTATAAACGACGATCGAGCTGGTTGTTCGCGCTGCGAGTTGTGTTGTTTGGAGGTAATAGGAATATGCTTTTGAGGCGGGGGAGCGGACTAATATCTCCGTTACTAGTAAATCGGTCTATTAAAGTAACTGCTATGTCAATAATCAGCTCCGCAATATAGGATGGGTCGGGGAGGTCGTTCTGCGTTAGGAGCGCCCGCCCGCTTTTGGACGGCCTGTGGCTTTTGATTCTCGTCTGTGGGGGGGTGTGCAGGAGGTGGTACGTAATCAGCTCCGACATATAGAAAGGGTCTGATGGGGCCCTTGTTGTGTCGTCATGAATTTATTCTTCATCTCCACTTGGATGTTGTTATTAACATGCCACCACTATGAATAAGCAAAAGTGCGTCAAAAATAAAGAGATTTATTTTTATTAAATGGACTTTTGCGTAATCGCATGGGAGCGGACACGCTAATCNAATTACAACACCTAATATGGTATTACCACGACGACCCCTTAGAATGTCACCTAGGATAGAAAAATAACTATCGAACAGTAAAACAACGGTTCTACTGTAAATCCTATAGAATTTCGTGCGCATGTACGTCAAATGAACGTAAGTAAAAAGTAACAAAAATTGAAAAAATGTCGAAAATTAGCAATTTTAAAATTTGTATTTTCTTTAGAAATTTCCTCCATTTACGGGGAATGCGAAAAATGTTTTCAATTTTTAAGGATAATATTGAGGGACGATGATATAAAAATTAAAGGAAGAAAAGGCAAATCGACCGAACATCTGAAATAGAAGCGCTGGTTCAGGCCGGCACTTTAGAAAATCTTTATGTGTGTTTAAGACTTTCGCAAAGTCATACATCCATCTCCATGTGAAGCGGCCAGGGTAACGAACCCGATTTTTAGACCCGGATAATGATAAAGGTCACACAGTGATGTGAGTTATAGAGATGGCGCAAACGCTTTAAGTAATACCCAACGGCAGTTCCAGGGCGGTTCGCAATAATGCAAGTCGTAAAATAAAAAAAACAAAATGTCTTACTTAATAATGACAATAATAATTGCACATCATTATCCCTTTTTTTTCTCTCCTATAACCGACTTAATGTGAACCGCCTTGGAACTGCCGTGAAGCATTGCTTCAGGGCGGCCCATGTCGCCTTAAAATCTTCTCACCACTGCGTTGTGATACGACCCGATATTAATCTATAGCCAAATCACAACGCGGCGCTGCCTTCCTCGTTAGTCCTACTCAAGCGGTGGGGCCGTTGCTCGGGTTGGACCACGTGGAGGTGGGGGTAGTCTATCATCTCATCTATTGGTCGTGTTAAAGTCCCGACCTTTTTTCTTGCTGGGGCAGTCTTTGGATAGATGCCCCTCATATCATTATCCCGTATTTACTCAATATTAAAACATACTACAATGTTTACATAAAATAATTTCTTACCATATTAAGATTCCCAAACTGTTTGGAACTCTAAAAAAAAGAAAATTTTGACAAGATGTTTTTATTAAAAATTGCAAAATGAAATATAATCTATGTGTTATCAATATACTATAAACACAATTAAAGTCTATGTAAGCTATTATATAATTGTTGAATATAAATTGATATTATATTATATTATATTGTATTGAAATATAATATTGACTTAAATTAAAATGTAAAGTTCAATTCATAAAATGTATTGACGCTAATTTTAGCAATGATCAAAAACTTACATCATCCGTCATATGATAAATTAGTGTTCCTGTCTAAAAAAAAAAAAACGTATTTGAGTGTATAATAAAAATTTTGTATTTATAACTGCAGTATCTATAAAAAATTATTTATTTGAATATAAAGTACATATGAAGAAGTAAATTATATGACTTTCATAATTGTAAGGAATTGTTGTATGTTTTTTATTACCAGATATTGTATAAAAGATAAATATAAAGTATTATAACTAAATTATTAAATTAAACATAGTTTAATAAACTTTATTTAAATTACATTGTCCTTTATAAATATGTTTGCAAAAACATCTCTAAAATAAATACAACACACAAAAATTAAAACAAAAGAATACGTTTTGTAAAACATTTTCCGAGAATACTAAGATTAAATTAATATAATTCAATAACTTTAACTTTGAATATATTTTATTAATTTTCCATTACATTTTTGCATTTTTATAGGATTTGAAGTAAATAAATTATTAAAAACCATAAATAAAAAAAACAAATAATAGAAATATAAGTGAATTTTTTTAAACAGTACCATTATAGACTTTTTAGATATTTTATGACGAAAATATATAAATTATGTTATTACTTATGCATAAATTGTGAAAAATATTGGTATTTACTTTTTTAAAAATGTCTATTTAATTAAGTTTAGAAGACTCTAATATACAAAACTATATAAAGTGAATTTTAATAAAACACAATAAAAAATAACTGTAAATATACATTTTCATAATATGTCAAATTGATATTTACTTGGTTCTTATATTTAGTATACAGCTTTGCAGGCATATTTATAATATTTTTGCTTTTATTATTTGAGTCAACTATTTGGGTTGCAAGTCACCGAGTGACGTCTATTTGATAGTTATTTTCAATAGGTATAACTAAATAAAATTAATAAATCAGAATTTTTGTGGACTATAATTTAGTAAATCTGTTATTGCTGTCAGTCCATGGAGTTATTTTTAATAATTCTCTAGTGTTAGTCACTTAAATAATTAAACAAATATTTATGCAATGAACAAAATAACAATAGCAATTACAACAAAATATTATTATACTAATGAAAATTATACATCCATTAATGATTTTAACCGTTTATAATTCTTACTAGGTTAATTCTCATTTGATCTGTGATTTTTCATGCAAGTCTACAATCTATAGGACTGTGTACGATTTATGCTTAACTTTATCAAAGATAAATTCCATATCAAAAACACTTTAGTGTACTAATTATTTTGAATGTTATAGTAGTGTGCTAACAATTATAAACACTTCAATTCAAAAGAACCATGACGCACACATCAAACACGGTACAGAAACGAAGGTACTTCCATAAAAGAATAATACATGTAATTTCTGATTACATGAATTTCACTGATCACTATCATATTTCATACCCGAGATTCTAATGAATTTTTAGGAGGGTATACTAGAGACATAAATTTTTTTGGTATGTTTATTGAAAACCTAAGTCAGAAAGGATTTGAAATATACAATACATATATTTATTAATATGAAATCTAATGCGAAATTTCATACTAAGAAATGTCAATGAGAATTTGAATTGCATTTCGGTGCAATTTTAATCAAAATTTTGGATAGTCTATCCAATTATTTTTTCCCTTTACTAAAAAATATTTCTATATAAAAATGTATTTATACAATTTTCATAATTATTGTAGGTACTGAAACAGATTTTGGGTGGATCATTTCCTACATTTGCACCTAAAAAGAATAAAAATGTTTCACATCTAAAACGTTTTTATTTCGAGTAAATAAACTATAATATTATTTAGAACCGGTTATTTATGACTCTATATTAGGGGTGCTTAATGATAATATTAAAACAACATCGCCTTTCCTTTAATATTTAAATAAAAGTTAAATCTATTCTTATAACTAACAATGGATTTACAGTAAAACAACAAAATAATGGTGTGAGCAAAAATATTATAATAAAAAAACCTCAAAACGTAACCGCAGCTCGTGCGATTGATATAACACTCAGTTGAACTCAGTTTACACAGTCTCCAACGTTTCCTGCGGTATTAACCCCCTGACTTGTCACATCTATCGACTGCCGGAAAAGACTAACATCTTAATACAGACAAATGAGGCGATGGACTACTGATAATCATGATCGTATAAATTCAGCGTAGATGAAAAGTGCGCTGTTACGGGTCGTGTTAAGTTGGTAGAATTTTATGATAAAGCGCAATTTTTACTTTCTACAGAAGATATTTTTGTTAACAAAAAACATTATTTATTCCTAAATATTATTTTAGTATAACCGTATGTTAAATGTTAACTTTTTTTTTTTAAATTAGATATAAATACAATAAATTGTTCAAAAGTTACGTGTATAGCCCGGTCAAGCTCCACGTAGTTTATAATCACCCCACCCCCTCGTCGCTTGACCCTAAAGAAGTCGTGTCCGACACTATCGACACCTAGGTCAGTACGTACATGGACGTGTTTGAAGTGTTGCCATACCGTTGAGTCTGATGACTTGTGGCCTGTGTATCTAGTGTGTTTTTATTTGTTGTTGGTTATTTTGTATCGGCCTGTTTAGGCGACAACCAACAGTTCCTCTCATACGTGATACTAAGCGAGTGTACAACGGAAATCGAGATCAGCGGAGGCTGACATTCAATACTTCAAAGGAGAATTGATTGGGAAGCGTTCGGCAATCTTTCAACATCAAATAGCAGTGTAGTTGACTGATGGCTGGGGGTGATGCCTTATGATTTTTATTGTTAATGTATCAATATATTGAATCTCTATTAGTCTATGTATGTATGTATAATAAAAATACTGTCCATAATTACCCTTTAGTGGATTGTCTTCTCGTTGTTCGCCTATTAAGAGTAACAGAAAACACCCGACCCGTCATTTATAAGTAGTTCATTAAGTTAACGTTTATGAAACGTATTGAAAGAGTCACTCTGGGAACTAGGATTTCAATATATTATTTTCACATAAATAATAATAATACAAATACTTTCAAGTAATTTACGTTAAATTTAATTAATCAAAATTATTTTTTGAATTTAATGTTAGCAGAAATGTTTACTTCTGACGTACTTCTTTTTAATTCAAATATTTTTTGTCTTGAAGAGACCCATATTTTATGGTCTACCAAAGCTCATACAATATACAATATACACAATAAGAGTAATACTTAAAAATTTTAACGAGGGTTGGAGGAAGGGAATACTCCCCAATGCGTTTGACTAGAACACCGCGCTTTAAGAGTCTCATGATCATAAATAAAAAGCAAAATTTGGTTATTTTTACTAAAACAAAAAAAAAAGCCTCGTGAAAACATTTTGCATTCGATCCTGCAATATCCAACGACGGTACGGATTGTAACAGTAATTTAATTCATTTCATTGAAATGATTCAACTCTCATTAATGGTTTTATATAGTGGCTAAATGAAACACAAAAATAAAATAATCCATAAAAAAGAAATAAATATTTCAATAAATCTTATTTATTTATTTTTATTCATGTAGAGGTTACATTAATAGAAGCCTATTAAGTGTAGCGATCCATAGTGTGATCTTGGAAGTTAAACATCTTAATTAATTGTTAAATGCGA